TATGTGACATCGAGGGCAGGTCGTAGATCCGGTATGATGTGAGAAGAAAATGAGTGGACGACAAGAGTTCTGTTTCCTCTCATTCCCCTTGCCTTGAGCGAGCTAGCACCATATTCCCTTTAGACTCATGCATGGGTGCTTGGCCCTGCCTAGGAGATGGTCCATGTGGCTCGGCTGGAGTGACCTCTTTAGTATGAATGAGAAGTCAAGGAGCGGGTCACCGGTTCGTCATGGCGCGAGGTGCGATCAGCAAAGACTTGTAACTAGCCGTTAGGACGATGACAAATAGTGTTGTACTTTCAAAACTCACAAGTGTATGCTCATATGTGTAGCCCCTGTGAGTGAGTCATGTCCTGCTACTGGCGTGAGTCGGATCAGGTCACTCGGGAGGTAAACGGCACTAGAATTGACTGTATGGGTATCGTGTTCTCTGGTCTACTCTACAAGTTAGCTCTAAGTTTCTAGAACTGTGGGTGAGCCTACACGTGTATGTGAACGTGCTTAGGAAGAGAAGCTAGGGATAGAGTTGACGTAACTGAGCGGTGTATCGAGAGCTATCGTGGATCTGGTCGTCATTGCTCGGGGCATGGCTAGCCCCCGAGAGCATGCTCGTGGCAGAGTTGTTGTGGTCCCTAGGCCACAAGCTAGTGAGGACGCTTCTCTATTGCTCAGAGCGGTCGCAGCTGGTGTAGGTCGACCTCTTGAGCGACCTTGGGTCGATCCTTGCTGGCTCGACGTCCTCGACGGGCTTGCAAGCCCCCGGGGATAGTTTCTTCATGTCCGGCTCGTTGAAGTCCATGGTTGGGAGGGCTCGTGCGTTCTGATGCATGAGTCCCCATGGTGCGACGACGTCGTAGTCATCGCATCTTTGCTTCCGGGTGTTGTTGCCGCTCTTGACGAAGAACTGGCGTGACCTATCACTGCAGAAGTGGGTTTTGGGGTTGACATGGCTTGGTCTGCTCAGCGTGTCATGTCGTGCTCTCAAATGGCCCGCTTCCTCGGATGCACGTGCCTCCGTGTGAAAGCTGACAGCTTGTGTTGGCATGATGGACAGCTAGCCCATGATGAGGGATTTGACCCTAGTTCTGGGCTTGGCCTTGCAAGGCATGGCGCCGGGTAGTCACCTGATCACTAACGACAACGCCGCATGGCGGTGGATAGTTTTGCCACTTGTGCACACCCTAATTTGCCGCATTCCGCCGGTAGTGGAGAAGCTGCATAGAGTGTGGCTCTACTGCGGGATCCAGGCCTCCCGTGCGTTGGGCCTAGACGGGGTTGAGGCCAGTGATGGGCGTTAACCCATCGGTGCGGACGATCTCATGGTTTCCCAGAAGGATGTAGACACCAAGGGCCATTCCGTGGGTGAGCTCGCCATGAATCATAGGCCTTCGGTTTCCTGGGTGGAAAACCTAGCCATGGCCGGTGATGAGAGAGGGTACTGGCCCCCCTATGTAGGTGAACTCTAGGATGCGGCCACTGAGGGCCGTTCCAAGAGTGTGTCCGCCGTAAGCCACGGGGTCTAGGTCTCCAGGGAGGAGGACCTGGCCATGGCTAAAGACGGATACGGGCGCCGACCCTTCGATGTCGATGAACTCAGGGTTCCCATGATGGATGCGGCCGCCGTGGGCCATTTCGCGGGTGAATCCATCAACGGTGCGAGGAGCCATCGCTTCCTTCTCAATAACAAGAGTGCGCGACTATCCCTACCTAGCGCGCCAACTCTTTGTGTTTTGTAGACCAACTAGTAAATTTACACGAATGTCGCGCTGCTCTAGGAAGACGATGGTAGCATCCAAAGGACATGAGGAGTTATACTGGTTCAGGCCGGAGCCCTATGTCCGGTCTCTGAGATGATCGAGTGCATGTTCCTCGCTTGAATGCTCTGAAGTTCTAACAATGGGGGTGCAAGAATGGTGGAAGAGGTAGGAGAACTAGAGCTAGGAGATGGACTGCCCGAATGAGAGTTTCGAGAGTCCGATGTCGTGGAAGGGTGCCCTGGCTACCCTTATATAGAGTCCGGGGCCAGGTCACATACAAAGAGGAAGGTTCTCCCGACCGAGGGGTCGTGAGCCTGAGGGAGGGAACCTAGCTAACTTGGCTTGCAAGTAACACCATCTTGTGGTGCACGTCTGGGCGTAATCGTCGTCATGGTCTTGTGCCCATGTCGCGGCATGGTGTGGTGTGGTGCTACTGTGCCGGTTGTGGCGGTATGCACTGTAGGCACGGTGGTGTTTCACCAGCCGTTTTGCGCGACATGGTCTTACCGAGGCGTTCAGTATCGCCTCCTGATCTCCTAGGGGCGTCGTACAACAATTGGTAGCTGCCCTCAGGTCGTTGGTCATCTTGCTGCTTGTGGAGCCAGTGGCCATGATCCCGCGCTCTGGGGTCATGGCCTTCGTTGGCTTAGATGGCCTCAAAAGTCAAGGCCGCCGTCGTTGCTTTCATCCCATAGTGGGTGAAGTTGTACATCCATCTTGTCAAGCCGTATTTGGACGATGGGCTGACGTACTGGCCACCACCGCTCAACAGTGTTGTCTTGTCTACGCTGCATGGTGCAGGGATGGTGCCTGACCAGGCTGAGGGGACGGCTGTCCCCTCTGTCCTTGCGGGGTCAGTGTGGCGTGCCTGCTCGTGTCAGAGCAGGCGCGCTTGGCACGGCTCGATCTCTCCCTGTTCCTCCTAGAGGTCGGGACAGGGGAGAGGTCATGTGGAGTTGCACGGCGCTCGATGAAGGCTAGGGGAAGAAGTCGTGGCCGACCCCTACCTTGGCATTTGGCCTAGGTCCACGTAGCTTAGCTGGGCCTCGATCGTTTGGGCTTATACTAGCTGATGTACCATGGGCCGCCTGAGTGGATAACTAATCGGTGTCTTAAGATACCCGGGGTATTATAACCCTGACAATATGATTCTCTCTTAATGGTTTCAATTTTGCAGTTTTATTGTTTCGATTTGTCCGATATATACTTTGGTGTTATCATGCGTCGTTTCTCCATTTGATCACATGAAACATGTTACCGATTATATGGTTTCTTCTCTAATCTCTCTCCTATCTTTGTCCTACGAAGTACTTTGTAGAATATTTTTCTGTTTATCATTATTCTATAACTGAATCCAGATAAAATGAACTAATTGTTAGGAATCAGATCAACGGAATCTATTTTTACCAATCCTAATCCAAAAATGAGACACGAGGAGATAGAGATGCCTAGATAGATTACTTTGTTAGGTTGATCTCCACCAAGTTGGTCCAACAGCCAATTTGGGCCTTTGATCCGCGTCCTGATCGGGGGCGCCCAACCCAATCATGGTTGGTGGGCCCCCGTCGCGCAGCGCTATAAAGAGGAAGGTGGGGGCTGGGGCACTGGGTACGAGGTTCACCGCAGCCGCCAACTCCCAACCGACATCCTAACCCTAGTCCGATCGAGAGGGCAGCGCTGACAGCGACGGGAAGAGCCACTGCCAGCGCCACCACCCTCACCACTGAACCAACGCCGCCGGGACGAGCACCTCAGCACCTTCACCGGAGCCACTCACCCCGGGGTTGACCTCGCCGCCGACTCCATGGCTTCATCCGCCTCCAAGCAGGACGGTCAGCCCCTTCTACCACTCTTCCCCTCTCTTTTTTCTTTCGAGTTCATGTACTAGGATAATTTACTTGTTTATGCCATGATTAGTGAAGTTTCCACCCGCTAGATCTGCTCCTAATGATCCTATATTTAACATACTTATCATGTATCTTCTAAAAGTCTATACAAGTGATATCGTATTATTTGTAGTGTAACTTTTTATATCTCCTAAAACATTACTAATGTCTTTAGACTCTTTACAAGTGAATAGGAGAGAGTGGATTGATCTATATAGGGAGAAAAGGTGTGCTCGTATTAAAACTTTTAGGTATTGTAAATAGGACAAGAGCATATTGACCAGATCTCTTATATTGCATCGTATATAAGTTGTTTTATAAAAAAGTACTTTAAAATCAATTTAGGATATCGTAGAGCACTGCTACAGCAAATTGTCACTTATATCTAGAAATAGGGGGGAAGGCCAGGGGTCTCTTTTTAATTTAGGCCCCTTTTGAAAACTCAAATCCTCTTGGAATCTCTAACTTTGTTTAGATGGGAAATACATGGGGATATTATTTGAATTACTCATTTAGTTATTCATAGAGGGTTTTTCATTCTGGGTGTGCTTTTCCCGTACCTCCAAATTAGTAGGCCTTAGAGGGGAGATGCTTTTTTAAGATCTCTCTTAAATATTATACAGATGACATATGAGATTGTTGTAACACCTCTATCTCTCAAAATACTATCTTTCGCTATAAGAGATTGGATAGAATATCTGCTGGAGATGCTCAAGTAATTCGGTTGGAGCATCCTTAATCTCTCATATTGCAGTTCTTTTATAATTTGCTGGACCAGTCTTCCCCGAATACAGTGGTGGCAGATATAGACGAATCTCAGGAAAATCGGTGCGGCATGGCCGGGGGTGATGACGACTAGCAGATGAGAGACGGACTGCGGCAAGACTCCGGTAGCTGCCTATTTAATTTAAACACTTCCATCTCAAGGGTAGCAGTAGCCGATTTAGTAATGTTATATCTTTGAGTTCTTGATGATGGTCGCTCCCTTACCTAGAATGTTAGCCTCAGTTATCAATAGGGTCTGATTGGCACGCCTTTTTCTCAAGTGTTCTTAGAGAAGCTGGACCATTTGAGAAGGAGCCACCTATTACAACTCTGGCTACACTAGAAAACGACTCTTTCTCCTAGAGTGTTTGGTATGGTCTATCTGTAGAAGCTGCTGCAGCAGCAATGCCGAAGAGATTCTGAGTTAGGTTGGTACCGCTCCGGCGCTCCCGGCATTGCTCACTTCCTCCGATATGAAGGTCTTCTGACGCGCCCATGCAATCTGCCAAGCTAGTTCTACGCATAATTTGCGACATGTTCGATTTCCTTCCATGTTATTTACATCAACAAGCTAAGTTCACATCTGAAGAAGCTACACAAACAAACACCGCACCACCTCGCCCACCAGTTGATTCACCAGCATCCCCGCCACCACAGCGCCGACCTCCCGCTCCTCCTCGCCGACTTGCATCCACCCCCGGCCCCGCTCCATCTCCGCCACGATGGCCGCCCCGCCGCTGAGCACATCCGCCAAGCCCCATCGCTCGGTTCCCGTGGCCTCCAACCAGCCCCTGGCCGCTGCGGCCACAGCAGCCTCGCCGTCTACCACCCGCTCAGCCTTCCGTCGCAGCACACCGCCGGCCGCCGGCCCAGGGAGAGGGAGCTCGGACTCGGCGTCGTGCGCTTCCGAGCGCCGGCGTTTCATCTCCACGAGGAAGTCGCGCAGAAGCCGTTCGGACACGTCGTCCAAGCCGCCCGAGACCGTGCCCATGAGCAGCGAAGTAAGGTCGTCCTCGTCTGGCACGTCATGGACGCCGCCGGCACCGCGGTGGGCGCTGCCTGCGCACTTCGGCGTGGACGCGTCTTCCGTACGGCACTGGATCATCTGCTGCGCCTGCGCTGAGTCTGCGGCGGCGGGGCCGTCGGCGTCGGGGTCTGACGTGGTGGCGGCGAGGCGCGCCTCGAGATCTAGGGGGCCCAGCTCGTCGTGGCTCCCGAACCGTCGGATCTTGTGCGTCTTTCTCCCTGTTGCACGACAAAGGAAAGCATTTTTAAGCATACGTGGATGGTTGCATTGGTTAGTCACATGATGGTCAAACTAGACGACACGAACACGAACACGAACACGCAGGCCTCTTGCCTTTTCTGATCGTCACTGGTGATGTGGGTCCAGCAGGATCCTCCCTATTGTGTCCGTTAGCATTTGGCACAGGCTTTGTGATGTCCCATGTCCGTCCGTATCCTGTCCGGGCAAAAGACAGGAACAGAGTAGCTAGAGCCCGGCACTGCCCGACGAACACACTAACACTCCGTACTAGACCTCTTCTTTAAGATTAGTACTCCGTACACAGAACTATGACCCCCAATAACTCGTGTTTGTCCCACTACGCACGTAACAGTACTGTATATATTACCGCATTTGAGCGTATAAACCGGACGACATTTCTGAAGGCACGGTCAACTGCTCAGTGCCTGTGTGCCTCTGCTCTACCTGGTGCATTTTTCCGAACCGTCGCGACGCCACTGCGCATGACCTCAACCTGTTCCGTGGATCAGGACCCGATCGGGTACGCTAGCGGCAAGCCAAGATGTCCTGAACCTGAGATTCGTAATTTCTTGTGCTCTTGCTGCGACCATTTTTGTTTACTGTGTGTATATATGCTCAGAGATGATGATGACTTACTCTGGAGACGTGCGAGGCTGAAAGAAGGGGTGCACGCGACGGCGGCGTCCCTCAACTCGTCGTCGTCGTCGTCGTCGAAGGGGAAGTCCATGACGGCCACGGGGCTGAGCTGCTCCTTGTCGTCCGCCTCCGACCCCAACGAGCTGGACCCCTCCTTGGACGACACCCTCTTCATCGCCACCACCTGCATTATTGCACGGCAGACAACATTAGCAACCGCCTGATCGATAACGTAGAAGCGTGCAGCAACGACTCCTTGTAAACAATTCTGCACGGCAACAGCGACGCAAGGCCGCCAAGCCAGGAAAGAGGAGGAGGGGACGCCACCATGCGCGCGCGGCTGGCGCTGGTCTCGCCGTGCGGGCGTGGTGGTGCCGTGGACTGAACTTTTCGTAGAAGACAAAGGAGCACAGACAGCAGAACGTGCGGCGCTGGATTGGGCGATCAGTCATCAAAACAAGCTTTCGTTTGACGAACTAGCCGTAACCGGCGTGGCTAATCCATCAGTTCAGGCCATCAACCCACAATGTGGGCATCATCGCCTTCGACTCCGCACATGCGATGCTTGCAGTTGCAGTGCAGACAAAGATACGACACGGCAGTGGTACGCCGTGGCCCGTGGGGCTCTGGAGGTTGGTTTCGTAGGCCGTCCGTACTAAGCGTGTGTATGCCATGGCAATATGGCATCGCTACTCGCGCGGGCAGCTGCGCTGCGTGGCAAATTGACAATGTCGGTAGCCATCACTCGCCTCTTCTGCTTGTGCTCAGCCGAACCCAAGGAGCGGCCTTTTTACTACTACATTTATGCCGGCAGCTACTTTTTCCGTCTGGTCCACAGCCGGCCCACGCCGCGGGGGCAGGTCAGGAGCAGGACGCTGGGGCGGTCGCCCGGGCAGCATCGGCGTGCAGTTGAACACTGAACAGGGCGGTTTGGGTGGGTGGCCGGACAATGAGCGCTAGGCAGTTTGCAGCGGTGGGTGGATGGACCAGCGATTAATCCTTCATTTTTCACTGCACCGACCGCCTATTCCGGACAGGGCCAGAGAGACAACTAGTACCGCGTACTTAAAAAGCTGTCTCGAGAAGATGGCTCTCGATCGCACCAACTGAATCCTTACTATTACAAATTGCAAGGCGCAGTTCTCACCGAAGCACAGGTCAGCAAGGCACCGTCCAGGACTAGCTGTTTTGGTCGGATCTTTAGCTCGTTCCAGGTCCATGACAGATACAGGAGACACTGCAGCCCCTCCATCGACCGATCACCACGACGGGTGCTTGCGGTTGCGGCTGAGTAACACTGGCAATGCCGTCATGAACCCCGCGCACGCAGATTACTCTTCAACAGCGGACAGCTAGTAGCACATGCTCGCCGTGCGTCAATGCCGCAGCTGATGATGGGGTTCCCTTGGATGCTTCGAGCGTGTAGACAGGTAGGCACAGGCGATCGATCGAGAAGATCCGCAGCAATGATCGAGCAGACCGCGTTCGGTTGGCTTGTGCATTTGCTTGTGGAATCAATGTGTGGGGCTTGGCTTCCGTGATCGTTTCATGGCTCTAAATCCACTTGCATACGAGAGCATACACGACATAAAGTATTAAAGTAGTAGTGGCTAGATTAGGTGTGTAACGAACGAGACGCCCTAACTATTATTGGAGCATAATGCGTGGCAATAGTGATGTGTAATTGAGCCATCAATTCGAGAGCAAACGGCGATCAATAATGATTATATTACCTCGTGCTCGTCTCCGGCGCCGGCGGCCTGCGAAGGAGGATGGTGCACGCTGTCCTCGGTCGCCGACGACAAGTCCGAGTCGGACTCGGACCGCGACCTCCTCCTGCTCGTCCTCCCGGAAGTAGTTGTCGCTGGACTCCGACGACGACGTCTCCAGCCCCAGCTCCTCGGAGCTACTAGAGCCGCCGCAGCCGGCGGACGCGGCCGTCGCTGCCGACGACGCGGTGTCCTCGCCCTCCTCGTCGCGGCGCCTACTCCAGAAGCCGCCCCGCCTTCTGAGCCGGCGCGAGAGGCTCCTGGAGAGGTGGGACAGCTTGCTCGGCCGGTGGCGCCGCAGGGTGAGGGAGGGCGACGACTCGAGGAGGTGCCGCATTGGCGCCGACGCCGGCTCGCCCAGGCGGCGCGGGTAGCAGCGGAACCCCGCGGCGCTGCACGAGTCGCAGTCCAGCTCCAGGATGTCCTTGAGCCTCAGCGGCGGCGGCATCCCACCCGCGCCAGCCATCGCCACGCCCGTGTCTCTCTCTGTGTGTCTGTGTGTGTGTCTCGATCGCCGGGCACTGCACGCGTGCCGCCGCTTCCTGGGTCCCTGATGATCTATGGGAAGTTGGAACCGAGCACTCAGCTAAAGGTCGGTCGCCACGCGTGCGTGTGTGTGAACTGTTCTAGCTAGGCACTGATCAGCGCTCGAGCGGACGGCAGGGAAGCGCGCTCGGCCGTCGCGCGGGTGCTGCTGGGCAGCTTCCGCGGCGTGGCTGGCCGTGCCCGTGCCCGTGCGCGCGCGCATAAACAAATGCGCGAGTTGAAGCTTGTCTTGATGCGGGAGCAGGTGCTCGCTCCGGGCTGCGGCTTGCGCGTGTGGGAGACGGAGGCGAGAGGACGGGTCAGCGCTCAGCGGGGATCGGCTAGCGGCCACAGGGGACAGGGCGTGGCGCCGCGCGCCGTGGGTGGGTGTGAGAGTGAGTGAGCATTCGCGTGCGGCCGCGGGTTAAATATGCCAAACGCACGGGGGGTCTCGACGAGACGGCTAGTGTTCTCCGTGGTTCTTAGTTTGCCCCGCCGCGACACGGGCAATGTTGCTCCTGCCAATCCCTGCTAGCTACTCGTGTGCCATGTTATCTGTTTCATTCACACCCCCTCCCGGGGTGGCAATTGGCAATATGGTTCTGTGCCTAACTGCGTACTACATGAACTGATGAGGCTTGGACCAGGCAGGCACTGCTGCACGATCGCGGGGGCTGCTGGTGGCTGCCTTGTATTCGACGAAACTGGACGCTGCCGGGTCGTCAGTGGTAGACTGGTAGTAGTAACGCGCCGATGCGTGCGACAACAAACAGCTCGCCGCACTCGGTACTTGCTACTTGTTTGGCCCTAGTTAACACGCATCCTAGCTAAGGCCTTCTCTACTTGATCGCGTTTTGTAATTCCCGTCGACAGGTTACGCTGTTCGTCGTCTCAATGATTGAGCAGCGCGTATCCTTAAGTCCGAGCCGAGGTCGAACAGGTCGGTGATCGAACACACGGTTGCGACGCCGCGGGCGCTGATCTTCCGCAAGTCTGGCACCGAAGCGTGGTCCGAACAAGTTCCAGCAAGAGATGGCGAAATCGCTTGAAGAACTATCGACCCAGTTCGAGGTAATGATGAAGCAGTTCGCGGGATTTCAGAATATGATGCAGAACTCTCTGGATTCGCTCAACGCCATGGGTGCGTGGCAAGTTTCCGCGGACAAGGCGTTCGCTGATTTGCGTGAGCGGGCTGACGGTGCGACTACATCCTTGGTCGACGTCTCAAAGCGGGTTGATCTCGCCGCATCGCGCATGGATTCCTTGGAGACGCGGTTGACGATGGCTCTCGCAGCCGCTTCGATTCAGCATGGTACACGCGTCGTGGACCTCAACCTAGCTTCGGGTTCGTCCTCAAGCTCTCCAGCTAAGGACGGGGAGCATCCCATGGGGCCCGGCGAACACTACGGCGGTGTCCTAGGACCCTGGCCACAGGACATCAACAAGGGTATGTTCCCATGTCTGAATCCTCCCCCTGTCGTTTCAGATGATGATGTTATTCCTGCCAGTTGTCGTTCGCTACCATTTCCTAAACTGGAATTTCCAAAGTTTGATGGCGATTCTCCTCGGTTTTGGCGTGACCAATGCGAGGTTTTCTTCGAGGTTTATGCGGTGCACCCATCTCTGAAGACCAGATTTTCAACGCTCAACTTCAAAGGGGTGGCAGCAACATGGTTGCAGACGGTGCAGAGAAAGAGGTGGATTACTGAATGGAGTCATCTGTGTGAATTGGTGATAGAGAAGTTCGATAAGAATCAGTATCAAATTTTGCTAAAGAAGTTTGAGTCTCTCAAGCAAAAGGATTCGGTTGTGGAATATCAGATTGCCTTTGAAGAAATTGCCCAGGGATTGTTGTTGTACAATAGTGGGTATGATGATACTTATTTCGTGACCCGATTCCTTGCTGGCTTGAAGGAGAAAATTTGATCTGTGATAGCTTTGCACCGACCGAGGGATGTTGATACTGCTAGTGCATTAGCACTCGTTCAGGAAGAAGAACTTGCTTAGTTCAAACCTCATGCAGCAGTAAAAGAGTTCGGCAAGGGTGCTTGGAAACCTGGGATAGAGAAGACCAAGACTAGTGAAGTTGACAAAGGCAAGCACCTGAACCCAAGACCAGAGGTTGAGGACAAGCTGTCTGCTCTGAAGGAGTTTAGGAAGAAAAATGGGTTGTGTTTCAAGTGTGGCAACAAATGGGTCCCAGGTCATAAGTGCCCTCAGCAGGTACCTCTGCATGTTATAGAGGAGATTCTTGATGCATTGGAGATAGAAAGGTGACCCACCAGAGGATGAGCTAGTGGAGGCAGTGGAAGAAACTGTGTTAGCAGTGGGGCATTCAGATACTGTTATTGTCAGACGCAAGACACTGAAATTATGTGGAACTATTGGCAAAGTGGATGTGTTGATTCTTGTGGATTGTGGCAGTGTGGGCACATTCATCAGCTCTCAGTTGGCAGAAAGGTTGCAAGTGCCTCTCAGTGAGTGTCCTCCTACTCATTATATGGCTGCTGATGGAAGCCCAATGATATGCTCTCATCAGGTAAAAATTGCAATGGAATGTTCAGGTCATTCCTTCATTTCCATTGTGGGGGTGCTTTCCACTGAAATGTTTTGACATGATCCTTGAGTCTTGTAGCCCTATGTGGATCCACTAGGCAAACAAGATCATGAAATTCACTTATCAGGATAAAAGGATAACTCTGCAAGGTCAACAGTAAGGTGTCAATCATTGTTTACCTATTTTCTGTGGCAAGTTTGTATGGGTTGGTCCACTAACAGAATTTCACATGTTGTGTTCAGATAAAGATTATTGAGAATAATCAGAACTCAGGACAGGAAAAATGAGTTGCATGTTGTAACTGATAATGTAGATGTTCCCCAGGATCTGAAGGATATGCTGGTTGTATACTCTGAATTGTTTCAGGCTCCATCTGTTTTGCCTCCCAGAAGGCAGTATGATCATCAGATTCAGCTATTGCCTGGAGCCACACCAATGAACATTAGACCCTATAAGTATTCTCCAGCAAGATCTCCATTTGAAGTCCTTTATAGTTATCCTCCAAAGCATTTTGGGATTTGTAACAGAACCGACCAATTATACGAAATTAAGTAAGAAAATCATCCGCCAGAGTAGACGATTTAGCAAACTTAAGCCCGTATAACCCGGTAGTCCGTGAAATCACGAAGGATTTCAAACCAACTCACATCCCAGCCACGATCGTAATAAGTTTAGCGGTCACCATCACATATTACATAAAAGTTCGCATCTCAGATACATCAGAGTTTAAAACATAGTTATTACAAAATGAGTTCGAATAAAAGTAGCGGAAGCCATTTGTTTAAAACCACACACACTCACACGGAGTTCAAATACAATGCCAGCTGATGATCATCTCCAACAAAAGCATTAGACGAGACGTACGGAATGACCATGCCCATGGTCCTAAGCATCACCCATCGCAGGATAAAGGCGGTTGATCTGATGGCGTAATACATACGCCCATCTCGCAACAAGTGGGAAATAAAACCACGAGTACGAGAAGGTACTCACTAGACTTACCGACATATAGAAAAAATAAAGTGACACCAAGGATTATGAAGGGCTTTATAGTAGGGTAGTGACTCAATTGCAAAAAGAGGCATTTTAGCATTTCAAGAAACTTTCAAAACATTATTGTCAAGTTAATTATTTATAACTTTGTCGACTAGATTTGCACCTACACTAGAGCAAACATGATTAAGCAAATAATGATAACCAATGATCATTAACAACTTCCATAATGTCATATTCATTATAAGCTGTCCAAGTGTTCCATCAACATTACTACGATGAAGTCACTCAAGTCAAGTGCTCACTATCCGGGAGGCGATGGCGATTGAATCGATTCCTAACGGTGGTGATTTATTCCTTACACAAACCTCACTCACCCGCTAAAGTGAGATATTGATCACCGAGTCAACTATCCAGAGTCTCGAGTTTGCTGGGAACCACATGTACCGGGGCCGACCGACTACACTTTGGTCTTATCATCTCGCCCTGTGTCCTACCACACTGCTTTCCAAGATAGTGCTGCATGGGCAATCTACTCGGCCGAATAATCTCCCGGCCCAGCGGTCGGAAGGTACTTTATCCGCCCAGCCTAAATGTAAGGCATCGTTCAACATGACTCGAGGCCCAACAACGGGTCGGTCCTTAATCGACACACAGACGGAAAGCATTACAGTTCAAAACTCGTAAGTCTCCGTCCGGTCTCAACTTCATTTAACACTTAGTTATACCATGACTACATAGTTATCCAAGCAGATCCAGGTAACCACCTATAGCTCGCAGGTGACAGGAAATCACCCGACGTCTACCGGTCTAAGCCAGCTAAGCATTGACTCGACTACGGATACCAGGGTAACAAGGATATGGTATAACAAAGGTAGACAAGGTATAATGCAGCAACGGTTGCAAACAACTCCTGAACGTAATGCATCAATTAAAGTAAAGTAGTTAATTAATAATTGCAAACCGGGGAGAAAATGCTCCGGGGCTTGCCTCTCTCGAAGGAGCTCGGGCGGTGATCGGGGCACTCCGGAAGTTTCTCAACGTCCTCCTCGTCGGCTTCGGGCACCTCCTACGGCTGCACCTCGAGCTACTCCTCGGGCTCCTCGGGTATGACGACTAGGTTCTCGGTTTGCGATCCTGTATGATGCAATGTGCGTAAGTGCTTATGCAATCAGTGCATCGGATGAGATGAATACAATGGATATGCTTGAATGCAAGGTAGTCAACATCATCCAAAAACATATACTACAAGCACATGTCATCTACTGCCTTCTCTTCTACTACTAATATGCTAAGTCAACACATCTTATTAAAGGCTTCAAAGATACACCAAAGCTTTACTAATTTCTTAATCACACATAAAGCAACACTTGATTAAACCCTAATTAATA